AGACACTTCACCCCCATTGCCTAGAATGAGTCTGGTGTGTGTGTGAATGGTTGGTGGTGGTCGGAGGGGCCGCTGGCGCATAGTGTTTGCCTCGCTTCTGTCAGACGTAAAGCGTCTTTGAGTGTCCAGAAAAGCGCTATATAAAACCGATGCATTATTAACACATCATCAGCAGGGTAAAACTAACCTGTCTGACGACGGTCTACCACTACTTACTACGTGGTCTGAGGATGACATCAGTGAAGAAGCATCTGAGGCCTTTCATTGGTTTAACTGCCCCCATTCAGCAGTGACATAAGGTCCAGGAAATGGAACACACCGTCTTGGATTGTGGATCTATTCAAGATATTATAGATTTTGAGGGTTGGCCTTAAAGAGATATTCTAAGGCTGAATTCTAAATGGACATTTAAATTGTTTGGTTTCACCTTTATTTTCCTTGTAACTTTCAGAATGCTGTTCTGTTCATGACCAGATTCATGAGGTGAACAAATATAGCTCAGTGATAAAGCTAACATTGTTCTGTGTGTTTGATGGAATGGCCTTTTTATCTCAGGCGGTGGCCAGTGTCACACCTGGACACGTCATGGACCAGTGACACGCCTGGACACGCCATGGACCAGTGACATGCCTGGACACGTCATGGACCAGTGACACGCCTGGACACGCCATGGACTAGTGACACGCCATGGACCAGTGACACGCCTGGACACGGCATGGACCAGTGACACGCCTGGACACGGCATGGACCAGTGACACGCCTGGACACGGCATGGACCAGTGACACGCCTGGACACGCCATGGACCAGTGACACACCTGGACACGGCATGGACCAGTGACACGCCTGGACACGCCATGGACCAGTGACACACCTGGACACGCCATGGACCAGTGACACGCCTGGACACGTCATGGACCAGTGACACACCTGGACACGGCATGGACCAGTGACACACCTGGACACGGCATGGACCAGTGACACGCCTGGACACGGCATGGACCAGTGACACGCCTGGACACGCCATGGACCAGTGACACGCCTGGACACGCCATGGACCAGTGACATGCCTGGACACGCCATGGACCAGTGACACGCCATGGACCAGTGACACGCCTGGACACGCCATGGACCAGTGACACACCTGTACACGCCATGGACCAGTGACACACCTGTACACGCCATGGACCAGTGACACACCTGGACACATCATGGACCAGTGACACGCCTGGACACGCCATGGACCAGTGACACACCTTGACCTCCAGGTGTGTGTAGTGTGCAGTGATGGGAATAACGGCGTTACTAGTAACGGCGTTACTAACGCCGTTACTTTTTTCAGTAACGAGTAATCTAACTAATTACTTTGACAGTAACTATAACGCCGTTATCATTTCCGACATCCCGTTACTGCGCGTTACTCAAGACGCACAATGAACGTGTTGTCATGAGAGAAGGGAGGATGAGAAAACCTCTCAGCAATTATTGGCTGATGTAAATCATATTTCCTTTACAATCCACATGTCTACAGTTGAGAGGATGGCTCATAAATTGTGTTTTTGAAACAAATGGGTCTTAATCGCGCTCAACCACGGCTTGTATCACCGTGAGGTCAGCCACAGAGGAGCGCATGTGAGCGCAGAAGTCGGCTGCATACAATTCCATCGATAAGCTCCTTGCTCTTCCTGGTTTATCTGCTAAGGACAGCAACAGGTTTGGCTAACATACATATAACACATTTTTACATAATCTAAAATGCACATAGGGTAATTTTTCAATTACTATAGGAATGATAAGAAAGAGAGGTGAAGTGTAAGACGGTTGATTTTAGAAATTGGATGCAGCCGGCTGCAGCAAAACAGAGGAGTTTACGGAGGACACACGCGTTTTGTTTTACTTGGACTCATTGGACTCATTTCCAAATGGAGGATTACATATCTACGCTCAAACCATTCACTGGATTTAAACAAGGAACTGGTCTGAACCGAAGTGGACTGTGCAGGTCATTTATAAGGTATAGCTATAAGGTAAGATCCATAACTCATAGTTTTGCGTTTTGTATGAACAAACAATGCGGGCATAAAACATATTCTGCTGTAGCCAAACAAATTGTCCACTTGATTTATATGATGTATATGTTCATCTGATTGGACTGAAGTCAGTGCTTCACCAGCCTCACCGCTCGTCACCGGTGTTTCCACATTCACAGTGGCGGGCTTTACAGCACAGACAGAGATGAAGAGTGAACAGGACTTCAGCAGCAAAACAGCCTTTTCTAGATGGAAATATTGGCACTGTTAAAGGTAAAAATGCGCACGTCGGGTGCACATTATGTTCCAGAACAAAACGAAAAAGTAACGCAATAGTTACTTTTACTGGTAACTAGTTACTTTTATAGTGGAGTAACTCCGTTAGTAACTCAGTTACTTTTTGGGAGAAGTAACTAGTAACTATAACTAATTACTTTTTCAAAGTAACGTGCCCAACACTGGTAGTGTGACATCACCCTCTGTCATGTGTGAGAACTGGACACCGTTAGAACAAAGAGGAGACACGAGAGGACAGATATGATGGAGCAGATTCTACACTGAGCGTTCTGTGAGGGGGTCCACTTACCTGAGAAACATTAATATATTTAGTTTGTTTATAGAGCATAATATCAAGAAATGTGTGACTCAGTCTCTTTGGCCTCATTATCCATGAGTCCTTTCAGAACAGGTTATGCATGGTGTGTGTGTGTGTGTGTATGATGACATCACTGACCTTTTAAACCACACTGTCCTTCTAAACAGTGTTACAGAAAAGTCTTTACAAGCCACTGAAAAGTCTTGAAAACAGTCATTTTTCATATCTCAGTGCAGCAAAGGAAATCTTTAAAAGTTTCTGTGATTTTTTTCATGATCATTGATATGATTTTCGAGGTTCTAGCACCACGGGATCCCTATGGACTGTCTCGTTTAAAGGTTTAAAGGGATAATTGGAAAAAATGTCCTTCCAACGCCTCAAACGTGTGTGTCTCTGTGTGTGTGGGTTTGTCTTTCCTACTTGGTGGGGCCCGTGGTCAGACAGCACACTCACGGCGTGAGGACCATAATTTTTGTGGGGAACAAAAACCTGGTTCCCACAAGGGTGAGCATTGGATTCATTGAAAAGAAGGTCAGGGGAGTTCCCAGTCAAAATTTCAGGGCTGACCCCACAAATCACAAATGTCTGAAAAAGTGTGGGAAAGTGTGTATAGCAATTCTCTCTCAGTGCTGCCAACTACTGGTCGGATCTGGTAATGTAAGAATACACACTTCATACACACTTGACTCATCTGCACATGTGCATGGGGGCAATTCACTTCTCAGTGACATTGACACGATTGAGACGCGAGTGAAAACAAAAAGGTAAGTGGCCCAGCACCATCACTCTCCTTATTGGTCAAACAGCCCTTACACAGCCTGGTGTGGATCTACAGGCAATAGTCATGAAAAGAAAAGTAGTCCAGTACAGTCCAAACTTTTGGTCTGTACTGTACATAGGGCTGGGCGATATAAACGGTATAAGCGGTATGCGATATAAATTTGGACCACGGTAGAGATTTTTGTTATACCGGCATATTGCGATAGGTCATTATGTCATTAAATTGCGCAGGCTCTGACGCCAGCAGAAAGGACCAAAACAAACCGGCATTCAGCAGCATTAGCCTAGCACATTAGCCTAGCATTAGCCTAGCACTATTGGACACCACTGGAAACAACGAACAACAGCACGGCATTAACACGGTGTTTCTGTCTATGTATTGTTGTCACAGCGGCCCCAGCTGAGGTAAATACACACACAGTAATCACAGTTTAATAATAATAATAATAATAATGCATCGGTTTTATATAGCGTTTTTTTGGACACTCAAAGACGCTTCACATGTGTCATTATTCATTCACTCCATACACGGTGGTGATAAACTACTACTGTAGCCACAGCTGCCCTGGGGCACACTGACAGAAGTGAGGCAACCAGTATGTGCCATCGGCCCCTCTGACCACCACCAACCATTCACACACACACCAGACTCATTCTAGGCAATGGGGGTGAAGTGTCTTGCCTAAGGACACTCTTATTATTTAAGAGTCTACCTTTTGGCCAATCAGTGTCAAAGGGGCGTAAGCTCAAAGCGCCAGCGTGAGCCAAAATAGATCCATGCGTGTGCCGTGTCCGCAGCATCACAGCAGAAGTTTGGGAAAGTTAGCGTCAGATTCGGACCTCCGCGGTCAATATCTCACGAAAGCTACTTTGTTAAATTATTTGTGCCAAAATGATCATTTACATCAATTGTTCAAATCCAATGCGCTGTTTTAATGAACATAAATCCATTGAATCATCCAGCGCAGAGAAAAGCGCTTAGGGAGCGTCAACAAATGGCAAGACCAGCTTTGTAAACGAACAGCTTTTACTGAAGTCATGCACCTGCACAAAACTCTCAAACACTATAAATAATGACCATGTCTAACTCCTACAGACTTTGATTTCAACATTTGTGAGTTTTTTATATTTTAAATGAATGCATATGTTTTTCTTTTTAAAAATTGCTTTTACAGTGAATGGTATTTACTGTAACATACATAAATAATGTATGTTACAACATTTGTCTCTTTATTCGTCTCACAACTGATTTTCTAACTAAAAAAATATTTATATTAGATTCTAATATATAAATAATTAACAATCTTGACTATTTTATGCAAGAACCTGCTAGACCTATATTGAAATTCACACAACAAATTATACCGCAATATATACCGTCTACCGTCTGTGTCCCAAATTATACCGCAATATGAATTTTAGGCCATATCGCTCACCCCTAACTGTACATGAGTAATTCTCAAGGTTTCTAAGTAACTGTACAGTCGTACAGCTGAAGGAACAATGGATCGGCCGCACAGTGATAAAAATCTGTTGCTACTTGCTGCTACTCCTCTTCCTACACCAGCTCAAACTCCTGCATTCTTCAGGGGTAGAGCTACAGGTGCTGGGGTTCATCAGCCCCTGTATGCAGCTGGTCCCGGCTCGGTTCCAGAGTTGGACTTGAGGATTGTTCTGGACCTGCCTTCGAGGAAAGTTCTGTTGCAGATTGTAGGCAGGATAAGCTGAGGGTAGTGAAGAGGACCAAACTGCCTGAGACCATGCAAGCTCCAGAGACAAAGAACGCCACGTCATAGGACTGCAGCCAATCGGAGAAGACGCCTAGAACCAGGGTTAGATTTGTATTAGAGCGGGACAAGCATTAGACCAGATACAGTAGGTCATTGATCCCCGTTGTAGAAATTCAGGGGTCAAGCAAAAATGTAAAGTAAAATTGATCATTCTAAAAAGCTAACAATAGTAATAGTAATAGCCATGGTGCCCTCCCAGACATTATCAGTCAACAATTGATGGTCCAACAAAAAGGACTGTGGTGATGATCCAGGACACTCAACATTCAACAAGATTTATGGACATTGGTCATCTATCCCATGTCTCTATGTGTTTTTTTAATGATTGCATTTCTCTGATCTGTGCTGGTGTATTCAGCGGTTTTGTTAAGTCCTTCGAGATAACTACTGTTTTGATTTAGGGCGATACAAGAATTAATACCAGCATTAGCACTAGCTTCATGAAAACTCTTAGTCTTTTAAAAATAACCTTCTAAACCTGTTCCTTTCAACAGTCATTGGATTGGACCAGAGTTAGACCCATGATAGACCCTATTGGAGGGAGTTGGAGCAGTATTATGTCAGTTGCACTCACCTGCCACCGGGGGCCCACGACAACAGCCACGCCCCCAAACAGAAGCAGGACACCGTGAGCTTCGTCAAACTGAGAAACCGGAACCAGTCGGCTCACTGCGTGTGCCGTCAGGGTCCAATTCGCTCTGAAAAACCCAAGGAAGAACGAGATGAACTGCAGCTGCAAGTACGAGCTGGAAGACAAACGTATACAAGTACTGTATCACTAGTACTGCAAATACTACTGCAAAACCGCTTAACTGCTATATCGCAGTGGAGACAGCAGTCTGTTAAAGCTGCATTACTTCACTTTATTTTTGTATTCATTACAATTCAATTCAATCCATGCAGTGCATTGGGATATTCGTGCTTTTGAAGAATAAGTAGCGCAGATTTGTGCTGCTGTGTCATTTTATTTTAGTCGAGTTCGAGTTTTTGTGCTACAAAGAAGATAATTTTTGGGACCAGATTGTGACCAATCACAGCGCACCACTGGCCCCCACTTTCTTGAGAAAGCCACAGGTCTCTTGTTAGCACAGACAGCTGAGGTAAACAAGCGGCGGAGGCTAACCTGAAACTTCCTGTTTCTTTGTTACCTGTTACTGCTTACTCAGAGAAACTGCCAAAAGAGTCTCGTTCCTGGGCGCTTCTCGGTTCTTTCATTCTATGGTCACGCCATCCACATTCAAATGTGTCCATATTGTGAGACGTGAGCTCCGTAAACACATTAGCACAGGCTGAGTGTGAGGGGGGTAGTGGGGGGTGATAGCTCCGTGAGTGCGGGAAGGGAGAGCAGAAGAGCGAGGCCAGCGCTCACATTCAAAAATTTCACAAAGTGAGTTAGTGCAGCTTTAAGTCTTAGCTCTAGACGGGACATATTTGGTTACCATAATATGCAAAGATTTCGTTCTTTTTTTTTCAAACTTTAGGCCTTGATTTTAGTTACTTCGTTTAAACCCCATGAGGCGCTTAGGAGTCTTTGTGAAACAGGCAAAAGGTGGAGCCCTCAAACTTAAGAAGACATAAAGGACGACGGAAATCAATTATAGATCAAAAATACCCTGGATCTTTTTTGGTGCAGGAAAGTCACAGAAACACAACCAACAGTAGACCCAGTGATAGTTGTTGTACCTGCTGAGGGGGATGCAGATGACACACACTCCTCCAAGAGCCACGGTGGAGCTGTAGAGCCAGCTGCTGTTGCCCCGGGACAGGTCAGCACACAGCCCCAAGATCAGCTTTCCACTGAGGTTTCCCATCAGGATCAGAGAGACCAGGGACACCACCCACTCCCCAGAGTCCCCAGAGTCCAGGCCTGTAGACTGGGCAAAGTCCTCAATGAAGAGTTGGTATGGGACATTACCTGCAGGACAGACAAGAGTCACATGTTGTCCAGGTAACAGTAACATATTACAGTGTGGGGTGAATACATAATGCTTGTGCAGATCTGTGTTTCAATAACTTTCAGCTCCAACAGTAACAGTTCTCTGAAGCACAACAAACAGACGGGAACGTTGTATTTGCATCGATGACACCAAGAGGGAGATGTCTGCTGGTCCCAGGGCTCTCAGACCCTCAGGAGGCATATACAGATAAATAGATACTGTAGATAGATGGATAGATAGAAAGATAGATACAGTGCCTTGCGAAAGTATTCGGCCCCCTTGAACCTTTCAACATTTTGCCACATTTCAGGCTTCAAACATAAAGATATAAAATTTTAATTTTTTGTCATGAATCAACAAGAAGTGGGACACAATCGTGAAGTGGAACAAAATTTATTGGATCATTTAAACTTTCACAGGCCCTGGTCAGACCAGGAGAGGGCGCTGTGGAGCAAAGAGAGGGGAGCATGGATCAGAGAACATCACATATTTTGTGTATAGAGCTATAATAAGTAAGTAAGTTAGTAAGTAAGTTTTTATTTATATACCGCCTTTTCACTGCAGATCTGAGTCTCAAAGCGGTTTACAATTGTTAATTTTGGGCATTTGTCTCTCACTCCACACAGAGATGGGAGCGGGGTCGCCAGTACAGGAAGAACATGCCAGAACTATTGGACATATTTTTTGTGGTAGGGGAAACCGGAGTACCCGGAGGAAACCTACGCAGACACAGGGAGAACATGCAAACTCCACTCAGAAAGGCCCTGGTCCGACCGGGATTCGAACCCAGGACCTTCTTGCTGAGAGGCGAGAGTGCTATCCACTCAGCCACCGTGCCGCTGAGAACAGGATAGGGTCCTAAGTGTGACTTGAAAACTTAAACTTCTGCATGTTTTGTCACGTTAACTGCCTCAAACATGTATATTGATACGACCAGCGATGGAGCTGGTCGTATCACAGCCGACCCCTCCCACCTGCACATGGTCTGTTCCAACCTCTCCCCTCGGGCAGGAGGCTACGGTCCAGGACCGGACCAGAAATTCCCGCCATAAGAACAGTCTGACCCATCACTGACCCATCACTGACCCCTGACCTTATGACCGTCACTTTATGCTACAGTCACTCTACCACACTCTTAACAGTCTGTTGTGGGCACCTATACTGCACTTGTATATAGTAAACTGAAGAAATGTATGTAGATTTATTTTTACGTATGCCTTTGATTTTATTCTGCTTTAACTTGTTTGCACCAAGAGCAAAAGCCCCCGCTGAAACATCAAGGCTATGCTCTCACCGACAGAGCAGCCTCCTGTGGACCCACTGCAGGAGGATCAGTGAGGGGCTGGTGCTCTGTGGGTTTGATGCAGCTGATTGCCACTCCCCCAACCCAGAAAAGGATAAAGGGGAAGAAAATGGATGGATTGATGTTAGCATTCCTCCAGTGGATTTACACTCAATCTGCTTGATTCAGACTCCTCTTTGCTCTGCTCTGGATCAGAGTAGAACCATGAACAATTAACTGCTGTAACATTTACAGGTAAAAAAGCAAGAACATAACAATTGTAAAACACAGCTGTTTCAGAGATGCTCAGGACTTGCTGCCAGCGCATTCAAAAGTAAACGTTATAATTAGGGCTGTCAAACGATTAACATCGTTAACATTCTATTTCAAATCCACTCCAATTGAAGTTAAATGAGATTATCAAATATAATTACCAGTGTTGGGTAAGTTACTTTGAAAAAGTAATTTTAGTTTATTTTTAGTTTATTCGGTCAGGCATCGAAAACAAAGTTGTACAAGGATAGTTTCCACAGGAACACAAAATATTCCAAAAAAAAAGAAAGAATGTACCGTACAAACTGATACTTTACTTTACTTTACACTGACCGAAAAGGCGTCGGCAGAAGCATAAGCTTATAATGCCTGCCTTTACAACACAACATGTGCCTTTGTGTTTTTCCTTATTGGAAATACAAAAACAAAAACAAAAAACATCAGGCCGTTTATCCATTAAGGAGATACAGAAACAGAAAATTATTGGACAAATTTCAACTATCTGACAAGAGTCTTATTTTTATATAATCTTTTAAAATGAAAGAGAGAGGTGCACTGTTTGAGTTCCTCTGTACAGTTATTCCAGAGGTCGACCTCTTTAATAGAAATGCAGGAACACATTGTATCTGTTCTAAAATATTTTTTATTGAAAACTTCTTCTCCTCGGAGCTCATAATGGCTTTGTCTTATGTCAAAAATATTTAGCAGCGTTTGGGACAAAAGTTTGTTTTTAACTCTAAACATGATTTTTAAGGTTTTAAGGTTTTAAGGTCTTAAGGTTTGTAAATAAAGGATGAGTTGACTGGTTGTAATTCGAGAATGTGATGAGCCTTATTGCCTTTTTTTGCAATTAGTTATAGTTACTAGTTACTTCTTCCAAAAAGTAATTGACTTACTGAGTTACTCCACTATAAAAGTAACTAGTTAGCAGTAAAAGTAACTATTGCGTTACTTTTTCGTTTGTTGTGGTACCGAGCTTCAGCTGGCTGTAATTTAGGATAACTTCTAAGTAGATTAATTGTTGCAACAACCCCACCCTATTTTAGTATGATATGTTAGTTTAGGGAACTGTCCTGCAGGCAAACAGGTATAAGACAGGCCAAGGTGCCATTTAATTAAATTGCATTTATTTTTAACCATTGATCAAACAAACAGATTACAAAACTTGCAATTGAAAGAGACTATTTTAAAATAATTAGTTCCCAAAGACACACACGAGCAACACTCGCGCCTGACAGACAAGAACCAGGGAAAATACAGTGCGCAGAGCGCTGAGTATGTGAACGGAGCAATCGCTTGCTGCTGTTATTATAATAGCTAGATCCATGCTTGCAGCCTGCGCAAAGCTTGCACTCACCCACAGCCGCTAACAACAACCAGAGCGGCCACGGAGGAGGCCATCTCACAGCAGCATTCTGAGTGATATTCTTATGGATAAATGGGCGGGTCATTCGGACATGCGTTAATGCGTTAAAAAAAAATAACGCGTTAATAAAAAATGTAATTAACGTGAGTTAACGCGATAATTTTGACAGCCCTAGTTATAATTCATAGACTTATTAAACATTCTCTACTTGCTCTACTACTCTGTCATGGAGCAATCACAGCCCTCGCCGTCATCCGTCGAATCCGTTATCTGAGTTGATCTTTTAAAAAATGTTTAGTGCACCCGAGAAAGGGGTGAGAGAGACACAGGCTTCAGGTCTGGACTTTGACTCTATAGTAATGCGCTCAGAGAAGCACATGTGCCAGCCTCACTATCATTTTACTTTCACCTCTGTCTTTGCTGATTCAATCTACCATGGGATCAAAACTAAATAAGGACTCAGATTTCCCCACTGTGGCCTAAATAAAGGTTCTTGTATCTTCTCTTCATATCGAGTCTCTGCACGCTCTAAACACTTTACAGTATCTTATCCATTACATTACCCACAGTTATACATTAACTGGGTCACTCTGACTTCAGCAACACTAACCCAGGTCACACATCTGCCTTTCAACAAAGGTTTCAAAAACATGTGGGGCGTCTTTAAAAGCATAACAAAAGTATGTGCATATATATAGTTATAGTTTTGGTAGGGCTGGGCGATTAATCGATTTTAATCATTAATTCGAGTTTTACGTTTAGGGCGATTTCTTTTTTTAAAAATTCAATTTTCATTTTCTCCAGCGCAGAACTACAGCGCTAACGCGCTAACCGCGGGTCTATGGTGTTGAGCAGTCATTTTGAAGCTAACCTAATGCTAACAGTCTCCCTCTGGCCTGATGCTCGCTCTCACAGTTGGTGCTGTTGCAATAACACTTCAAACGTTCAAGAATCAGACTTTATTTAATCGCCAGAACACACACACACACGCACGCAGGCTCCGGTCGCCATGTTCGTACGCCACATCTTTCACGCTCGTTATTCCAAAGCGCGCTACTCCCGTGTCCGTGGCGCGCAGTAGCTGCTACTGTAGCTAGCTGCTACAGTAGCTGTTACTACAGTAGCAGCTACAGTAGTAGCTGTAGCTGTTAGCTACAGTAGCTGCACATTAGCTGTTAGCTACAGTAGCTGCTACAGTACAGCTACAGTAGCTGCTAGCTACAGTAGCTGTTAGCTACAGTAGCTGCTTAGCTACAGTAGCTGTTAGCTAGCTGCTACAGTAGCTGCTACAGTAGCTTTTCAGCTGTACTAGCTAGCTACAGTAGCTGCTAGCTACAGTAGCTGCTAGCTACAGTAGCTGCTACAGTAGCTGTTAGCTACAGTAGCTGCTACTACAGTAGCTGTTAGCTACAGTAGCTGCTACAGTAGCTGTTAGCTACAGCATCAGAATGTAAACAGGAAGCTCGCACAATGCGGGAGTCACTGAAGTTAGTATTAGCGCCACCAGCTGGACCGAGTGTTGTACTACAGCACAGTTACTCAGGCACAGTTGAAAGAACAAGCATGAAAACCCGAGGAGGCATGATATATTATTTTAGACTGAGTGGAAAAAAAACTTCCCCCATTCTCCAATATCAGAGGGAAATCGAAGACACTGAGGTTAAAAAAGGGAAATGAATTATTCCGTCAACAGGTATAGCAATTGTTTAAATTTTTCCGACTTTAGTCTGATGTGGGAAAACCCTCAGGTTAAGTACATATTTTAAAATATGCTTCTTCCCATAACGTTGAGTTTGCCCTGGATTGAATTACAGTTAAGTGAACTTATCACCACCATAGCTGTTTCTTTTTTTCTTGTATGGCCTTTTCTATTTTGGCTCTGTCTATCAAGGCTGAAGAAAGACAAATTCTTTCATTTCCACTACCCAAACCACCCCTTTTTTATATTTGGAATTAAAATGATGGCAAAAATTGGAAAAATCATGCAAAGATAATTATTTTCCCCCGATTTAAAATGGCCAACATTTAATTGCGGCAGGACTAAAGAAGTTCATCCATTTTGCAGTTTTGGATTCAAGAGGCCTTTATTGAAAACATCAAAAATAGAGAAGCCACTTTCATGTACAGCTTTTTGGTCATTTTTAAAGCTGTACGGTAACAGCTTCAGTCCCAGTGCCTACTGACATAGTTTTGAAGTCCGGTGTGGACTTACTGGTCACGTGGTCACGCACAGACTAGTTAATATGCAGACCAGTGAGCTCAAGGGCAAGACAAATTGTAGGTAAATGTGTACCTGGAGGAAAATAGGAACAACTTTTTGGAAGTTGTTTTTGGTCTGGTTGCAGGACAAGCCCCTCGTACAGAGAAAAAAATTACTACCTTATCACATGACACACATTGAATGTCTTCAGAACAGCCAACTGGTGCTGATGGAGATGTGAAATACAGAAGATTATGCAACACCCTAAAGGCCATCATGCTGCTAGTCCAAAAAGGACTAAATATTTTCATTCAAGATGCAAAGTGGACAATGTTTACCAGGATGCTACAGGGTGCATAGTGCAGAGGAAGACACAACAAGTTTATGGAATGAGACCGTGGTAGGAAAACCCTTCAAATGGTGCCTTCACCACTGCCAATAGCTACTTCTCGCTACTTGTGATCACACCACACCTCCATTATATTACCTTGTTTACAGGCATTTTGGACGATGCAATGAGAATGTTTGTAAAAAGGTCTGTAAAAGGCCTGTAATGTTTGTGTGCGATGGTCTTTGGTTCTGCTGCATTCCATGACCACGACGTTTTGTCGGCTCTCATTGAAAACCCTCTCCATAAAATATGATGTTAAATTATGGGCAATATTTTGGAGAGGATTTTGACTTCCACAGCATCCATCCATGTTTGAGCCATGTCATGAAAAACGCAAAAAGACCTCTGCAAAAAAAGTATTTGTGTTTGGGCACATTAATTTTGTAAGATCCTTTGATTTTAATATATGCTGTTATGAATGTTTTAATAATCTCAGTCCTGTTTATTTATTTATTTCGCTTATATTTTTTTTTATGAACCCTCTGGGACACTTAGGTCCTCAATATCTCTTAACCTGTCCCCTTGGGCAGTCCAAACTACTCCATGGTGGGCCTGGTAGTTTATCTGAGATCTGAGGTCCACTGTGTCATGGTGTGGATTTTTTATTTCTGTATTTGGTTTTCATTGGACATTAGTTCTCTGGTGTCATTTAGTTTTAACTCATGTCTGTTCCCCTGTTGATTGTCTGCCCAGCCTGATGCTGTGTCTTCTGTGTCCTGTCTGTGGTCTATATGTACCTGTGCTTCTCTCCTTGGTTGCGGGTTCATTGTCTTGTCAAGTTCCGTCAGGTCATGGTACTTTGGATTTTGGCGTTTGTGTTTTTTGCCTTGGACTATATTATTAAAGTCGTTATTACTGGCATTCCTGCGTTTGAGCTCATCACTCATCTCACCTCATGATTCACTGCAAGATTTCAAATTATAAAAGTATTTACACAGTCTTTTTATTAAAGATTTTCGTTAGTTTTGTTTTTATCAAATATTTAAGAATTTTACAGTGGCTCTGCCTTTATTAAATGTCGATTTTAATTCTTATAGACACTACTAAATGAGGTGCTTGTGAACTGGTGCCAGCTCTGATTGCCACCCCCCATCCCAGAATGTATTAAGGGGAAGAAAAGGGATGGATATTTATAAGGTAATTTTTGTGTACATTTATTACAACATCTTCAGCCTTTTTAAAATTATTCATTATTTTTTAGGGGCGAAGGGGGGGTTATAGTCTGTGTATTTTGAATGCTAGATTAATGAGGATCTTTACGTAATAGCTCGATGACTTCTTTTTTTATTCCTGAAGGAGTAGCTTTGCCCTCGATCCCAGACCGGTGTGTTCAGCCAATCGACTCTGGTGGAGCATTGGCAGAACCACAAGTCCAAGTAGCAGTACCCTGCAAGAATTGGATGAGATCCTTCACAAGTGCCACAGTTGTGTCCTCCTCTCTTCTCACGGATAGCTAGTTTTAAAACCCACTTGCGAAACTTCAGGAACTGATGAGGATGTCTGCCGCGTGGATTGATGTCTTGGTTCATTTAATAGAAGACACCGGAGCGGATAAACTATGAACAACGACGTCACTCCAAGATCCTCTGTCCGATTCATCTCCACACAGCCCAGAGACCAATTTCTTGAATACTACTATGAGCCTTAGCCCAATCCAAATTTGTGATTAGTTCCAAATTCATGCGACCATTTGGGCCTTAATTTACAGACTCTCTATTGGTAGGTTATGTAATGATTAGAGCGCGACCAGCAATGGTATCCCCGGCGGTAGGTTACATCCGTAAGACCGAAACATAGAAAATGGCTAACCAAACTATGTACCGGCAATTGTTTGAAACCTCATTGGGTTGTAATATACATTTTAAATTACTGTTAGCGTTTTATTTATTTTTTAGAGATGGACCTGTGTGACACACCATTGGTGCACCATTTCCATGAAGTGATTGAAGGAGCACCACTTGAGTCGTTGGTGGAGGAGGCAAACATGTCTATTCGCCAAATTTCATGCCCCGCTTGTTGTCCTCTTTGGTCTGGATTAATCCTTGGTTGTCAGAGCTGACGCAAAAGCAGAACTGCAAAAAGTAATATAATTTAATAAATGCCAAAAAAAGTAAAAAACAGAAACCGGGAACAAGAGAAGGGGGGAAAACACAATGGGCCGACAACCAAGAGGGAACATGAGCACAGGGTCTAAATTACACACACCGAGTGGACACATGGTGTAGCACATCAGGGAGGGGCAAACAATCAACAAGACAGGACAAGGAACGCAAAAAACTCACATCTAAGGGAACAAAAAAAAAATATCAAATTAAACCAGATACCACATTCCAGAAAGTCCACTCCCATGAAATTGGTTAAGTGTATTGAAAAGCACTTCCACTGACTTAAACAATTTTCGGCCAAATTTTAGTATTTGTGAGTTGCAAAGGTTATCTTGAAAATTTGATTTTCCAAAAGTTATATCCCTACCCTAATTGCATTTATCATTTTGTCTCCCTATCCATCTGGGTTTTCGATCAAGGTACTCAACCACCAATGCTCTGTTTAAATGCTATCAATGATGTATTTTCTTGATTTGACCAAAATATGTTCTGGGCTCCTATTCCATGCTCTTTCCAAAGCCTTTGACTAGTAGGATACTCCCCTTTCTACTTTGACAAGCTTAAAGCAATTAGGTCTTGATACCCAACGCCATTTTCAATATGTTGTTGCTCTCAATTGTTGTTTTTCCATTCCTAGGTCCAACAAAGGCATAATTGATAACGGCTCACTTTAGGTCCCCTTCTATTCTCACTATTCATCAACGATCTTCAAAAGTCATATCAAAATAAAAATATATATCGCAGACGACAGTCATTTACACATCTACAGTAGGTCCATTCGTTGTTGTCGTCTTTCATTCACTTTTTCTTTTTCGGGAATCACGCAGCCTGCGTGAAAATTAGCTACATCTTATCGCCCACAAGGTGGCAGGCTAAGTTTCCGCTATAGCACTGCCAGCGACTTAGGACGCTCGGTATAGACTGCGT